CGCCTGCCCCCCCCCCCCCCCCCGGGGTCCCACTGAGACTAGAGTGGCCGGCAAGATCCCTGACAGCCCCGCCCCTGCCTGACAGCTCGCCCCGCCCCTGCCTTCTGGCTCCGCCCCCAGGCCTGCTCTCGCGTGGTCTGAAGTAGTATCGGTGCCGGTGCCTGCAGGGGCCGACGGGAACGGGCGGCCTCGCTGAAGGGGGCCGATATGGCGGCGGCAGCGGCTTCGCTTCGCGGGGCAGTTCTGGGCCCGCGGGGCGCAGGGCTTCCGGGCGCGCATGCCCGGGGCCTGCTGGGCCGCGCGCGGCCGGGGCAGCTCCCGTTCCGGACCCCTCAGGTGAGCGCCCTCTCAGCCCGGTCCCCGCCCGTCCGGCAGCGCTGAAGGTCACGGCGGGGAGGCTCGGGGCGTGCGCCGGAGGTGTTCACCCCCAGAGTGCCCGCTGCCCGCTGGGCTCCTGTCAACGAGAGGCGTGGCCCTGGAGCCTTGCTGGGCGTCCAGGCCTCGGAGCTGCAGGGCGCGGAGGCCGGAGCTCCGGGTCAGCGGGCCGGGCAGGAGCGGGAGGGCACCAAGTACGGGGACTCTGCGGAGGGCGCGTCCCAGCGGCTCTGAATCCCGCTGTCTAGACCCTGCTGGTGCCCTCGGGTGACCCCAGCCTGATCTCGGCCGGCTGCCCATGACCTTGGTCCGCCCGGGCACGCCTCACCTGCTCCACGGAGCCGCCGCGCAGGAGGTTTCGGCGGGCATTGTGTCCCTGGTGCCCGGGCAGTGGGGCTGGGCGGCCGTGTTCCGGGAGAGAAGAGTGCCGGTCGGGTCCCCAGGTGGGTGGTGGGGTCTTGGCAGGCGCTGAGCGGGGCTTTTGCAGGCAGTGTCCTTGTCCTCGAAACCTGGCCTTTCCCGGGGCCGGAAGGTGATGCTGTCAGCGCTGGGCATGCTGGCCGCCGGGGGTGCAGGGCTAGCTGTGGCTCTGCATTCTGCTGTGAGTGCCAGTGACCTGGAGCTGCACCCCCCCAGCTATCCATGGTCTCACAGCGGCCTCCTCTCCTCCCTGGATCACACCAGGTAGGTGTGTAGATGGTGGGCTGGGGGAGCTTTTGGGTGGCCCGGAATCTTCGTCCCTCTAACCCTTCTCTCTCTCTAGCATCCGGAGAGGTTTCCAGGTATATAAGCAGGTGTGCTCTTCCTGCCACAGCATGGATTACGTGGCTTACCGCCACCTGGTGGGCGTGTGCTACACGGAAGCCGAAGCTAAGGCGCTGGCTGAGGAGGTGTGGGGCTCTGGGATGGTGGATGCAGGGCTTGGGGTTTCTACTGTGGTGGGACTGAAGGATTGTGATGGGGCTCTTGGCGGCAGGTGGAGGTCCAGGATGGCCCCAATGACGATGGGGAGATGTTCATGAGGCCAGGGAAGTTGTCCGACTATTTCCCAAAACCATATCCCAACCCTGAGGCTGCCAGAGCTGCCAACAATGGAGCCTTGCCCCCCGACCTCAGCTACATCGTGCGAGCTAGGTACGTGGGCTGCCCAGAGTTGGGGCAGGAGAGGGGTTGCAAAATCTGCCTTGGGTCAGGGGCTGAGCCATGGATCTGGTTTCAGGCACGGTGGTGAGGACTATGTATTTTCCTTACTCACCGGCTACTGTGAGCCCCCCACTGGGGTATCACTGCGAGAAGGCCTCTACTTCAACCCTTACTTCCCTGGCCAGGCCATTGGCATGGCTCCTCCCATCTACACTGATGTTTTGGAGTATGATGATGGTGAGTGTGTTTTACCACCAGTCCTTTCCCACTCCTAGGACATTTCCCATATATTCCTGGGCCCAGAGGTGCTGCTTCCTTCTCACCTGGCATGTTGTCTGCAAATTTGAGGTGGCTCTGAGGGCAGCTTTCATAGTACTGTGGGTTACTTTTACCTTTGAAGTCTTAGATACGGTCAGTCTCTGCCTCTGTGGAGCAAATGCACTGGGGTTCCCTGGATTGACACAGGTCCCTAATGGTAGTTCTTACCAGTTGTCCTTTGCCCAGGTACTCCCGCTACCATGTCACAAGTCGCCAAGGATGTTGCCACCTTCCTGCGCTGGGCATCTGAGCCAGAGCATGACCATCGCAAACGCATGGGGCTCAAGGTGAAGGGTTGTCTAGGGCCATAGTGGGCAGTAGTTGATGGGTGGGAGGTGGGGGTTCTTTCCTCTTTCATCTCTGAGCTTGCTTTGTTCCCAGATGTTGTTGATGATGGGCTTGCTACTGCCCCTGGTCTATGCCATGAAGCGGCATAAGTGGTCAGTTATGAAGAGTCGAAAGCTGGCATATCGGCCGCCCAAGTGACCCTGTCCAGCATCTGCTTGCCATCTTGCCTGAACAGGCCCTCAAAGCCTGGGAACAGTCCTAGACCTGTTCAGGCTTCATCTGGTCCACTGGCCTGGCCCCTTTTCATTGGGACAAGGAGAAGGGGCAGGAGACCAGGCTTTTCCTCCAGATCTTCCTTCAGTTCTCATCATGGGAATAAATTAATTTTCTCAACATATACATTTAAGCTGTTAAATGACTGGAACACATTCTTAAAAGGAACCCTTGGATCTATATTTCCCCCCAATGTTGTGTCCCGCCTTGCCCAGTATCTGGCAGTGCTAAATGTGAGACAGAAGGCAAAAACTGGCAGTTAATAGGCAGCAGCATGTATGTACCTTGGCAGAGATGGAAAGGGGTAGCAGAAGAGAACCAGTCTGAGGACAACAGGGAGCCTTCAATATCTTAGCACAAGGAGGGGCAGGTGGAACAGCTATGTTTGGAAGGCTAGGAAGATTCCTAACATGTTGGGAAATTGGGAGTAAGCAGGCAGGTGAAGGGCCCCTAAAATGTCTCCTAAGTCTTGACAGGTAGAATGTCATGTGGAAGTATCATTATTTGAATGACACCTAGCATTCTAGAGGTCTGAAAAACTGGCAATGACTAGGTTCACATGGTATGGCACCCGAGGGCACTGACAGATCATAGTCAGAATCACAAACATGACTTTGGCAGCAGTCCACTCAGGACTTCTGGTGCTCAGGCTTCCTTTGTCCTTAAGTAGGGGAGGAAAATGCCCCCTCCCATTGCCGGTGTCATCCTTGCAGGAGTAGCTGAGCAATGACTGAAATTTAGGCACGTTCCAGAAGGGCAACAATGGGGAATCAGGGTTCAGTGAGAGGAACCCTTAGCAGATTGCAGCCCAGGGAGCCCCAGTAGGAACTTGAGTCTAAGCCACTTTTCAGAGGTCCCCTGGGCATGGGGAACCCCACCTGCTGAAGGGGCAGATTCTGTTTCCTTGGTCTGAACAGCCCTGGCAGCTGGGCTAAGGCAGCTCTGCACCAAGACCAGGACACTGGACTGGTTTTTATGTGTCTTTAATTCATGGCTTTTGGCCCTTGTCTCCTAATGGTATCTCTCTCCCCAATAAGCAGCAGAGGTCTCCTGTGAAATGCAGATGGTGGTCCAGGGATGGGTTGGTGAGGGGAGGGCCATGGTCTCTGTAACCTGGGGAGGATGACAGGTTATTCCTATTCTACTCTGTACACCCTTATCCCCACCAAGTCTCTTTTACCTTTGGTGGCTGCTAGGTGGAGGCTGTAGGAAGGGGATCCCAAGCACACGGCCTCTGAGTGCTACACATCTCACAGCCAGGACGGCTTAGGGCATTGATGAAGGTGCATGAAGGGCAGGGCCAGCCAGGCTAGGGAGGTGGGAGGACTGTTGGTGCTTCCCAGCTCCTTCCAATACCCACGGGTGCCCATGTCTGGCCCATTCCCGGAGGCTCTGGTCATTTGCCCACCTGAGGGGGACTGGGAAGGCTGGAGCTGGAGGGCTGAAGGACTTGGGGCAGCTCCAATGACTGAGGAAACAAACATCCTAATTCACCATCCATCTGGGGCTGCTGAGGGCTATGTCCTATGGCAGAAGAGGTGGCTCAGAGGTATTTCAGACTGCACCCCACCTCCCTTACTCCAATTAAGTACTGACCTGAAGCTTCTCGGGGGGCTGAGAGCAGGTAGAGAAACGCAGGGTCCCCATCTTGCCGGACCCCATAGGAAGCAATGCTACGTTCAGGCACACACAGGGACTTCCCAATGACCCAGTGCTGCACAGCTGGTGGGAAACCGAAGTCTGAGAACACCTGAACCCAGAACATCAGGGGCAATTAATGTCACCCGGATCCCTGCACACACATCACCCCAAAGGGTTCCCTAGGCCCCATGCTTACTTGTTCCTGGAGGGCTGCAATAGAGGAGTGGGGGTGGATCTGCAGTGAGACATGAGCAGATGAGGCAGAGGACAAAGCAGATGTGACATCTTCAACTGTGACTTGCAGCCTGAGTCAAAAATGTAGATGGAGTTGGACAGGGAACCTGGGAAGGTCAGGACATGGTGAGGAAGATCAGGCCTCACCTGATGGGACCTGGTGGGAAACAGGCCTCCCTGAGCTGGACACTGAGAGCCGCATGATGCTGTGCCAGGATTGCTGCCACTTGGGCTGCCTCTTTCTCATCCCCACCTATAATGGCCTGGGCCAGACGAGTAGCCAGCTCTTCTACACGAAGAAAAGAGAGTTATCACAACCACACATCAGCCACAGCCCCCAAATTCCCTCCAGCTACCTGTTGTTACCGTTTTTCAAGTCTCCAGAACTTGGAGGAAGATCCACCTCAGATTCGGTTGCTTTGGGTATTGGGGCCACAGAAGGACATGGTGGAGAAACAGGGCTTGTTTCTGTGGCCAGAGCTGGGCTGCCACTGCCTAGGAGGGAAGATGTGAAGTAGACTGGTGGCTTCCACTGACCTCTGCAGGCATTGCATGATATGGGTGCACTGATATACATGCAAGCAATATACTCATAAACACCAAAAAATCAAAAAAATTTTTAAAAAAGAAGTCCTGCCTAGCTTATGTTGGTACTGGAGCTGCATTTGGCTCATCCTTGAGACTACAATCTTTTTTAATCCTCTGCTTGCCTGGTCCCACCTGTGCCCCCAGCTTTGTATAGCATAAGCAAAGTAAGCCCTCAGATCAGGGCCTGCCATACCCTGCCCAAAAGCACAACTGTAGTCACATCCTCTTGGTGTCTTCAAGGTCCTACCCTCTCCTGGCTCCCCAATCTGCACAGAACACATTTATGCTGCCTGTCCTGGGCATCCTTGCAAACCTGGGCATACTGCCGTCTTCCCCCTTACCTCCCGCTGAAAGCAAGTACACTGTGATGAGTGATGTCCACCTAGTGCTGACAGCTCCCAGGATGGTCTGAGGCCCTTTGCTGTCCTGAACTGCCTCTCCATAAAATGAACAGAGCCCTCCAAGAACCTGGCACTTCTTGTGTGCTCTGAGGGTCACTTGTATATTCCCCTAGGAGCTCTGTACTTGCTGTCTCCTGGACCACACGACTCAAGCCATGATTTTTTTTCTTTTTTCCTTTTTTTGGTCTTTTTGAGACAGGGTCTCCCTGTAGCCCCAGCTGGCCTGAAACTCACTGTGTAGACCAGGCAGGCCTTGAACTCACAAAGATCCACCTGCCTCTGCCTCCCAAGTGCTGGGACTACAGGTGTGCGCCACCACGCCCGGCTCAAGCCATGATTTTTACATTTCACTTGTGTCATTCTCTGGAGAAGTCTTCCCTGTTGTAAGTAGCTTTCTCATTCACTCCACCATCTGACTGAAGTTTACTCACTCATTTTACACATCTGCCTCCCCTCTAGAAATGAATACTCCAAGGAGGGCAGATTAGAGGTTTGGTTCACATTAGAGAAGTGGGAAGATGGCTCAGTGGGTTAAAGAACTTGTCAGGAAAGCAAGAAGACCTAAGTTCAAATTCCTAGAATCCACTTAAAGGTGGCTGGACATGGTAGTGTGCATCTGTAATTCCAGTGTTCCTACAAGTGAGATGGGAGATGAAGACAAAGTAAGTACCCCCCCAAAAAATAAAATATTTTTAAAAAAGAAAAAAAAAACATGCAAAAACTGCTTTGTATGTGGTGGGGGGCAATCAGTGGCTTACAAAGCAACTTACCACAAAAAAGACCAGACTGTCTCAAACAAGGTGAAAGATGAGGACTGACACCTGGCCTCCACACATGCTGTGGTACATGTGTGCCTGCATGCAAACACATGCACACCCATACACACACCAAAAAACAGTAGTGCTCAGCAGTTGAGTGTGGTGGTGCACATCCATAATCCCAATACCATATGCAGAGGCAAGAGGATCACTGAGAATTCAAGGCCAGCCTAGCTAGGCTACATAGTACACTTGAGATCATCCTGAATTGCATGGTGAAACTGTCACAAACCATGAACAGTATGAAGCAAGGTTGCACACACATATTTGGTGAATGGATGGCTTACAAGGTCTCTTTTTCAGTGCTGACTTACTCTGCTCTCTGTTACATCATGTCTGGCTGTCTTCCTGCACCTCTAGAAGCTCTTCCTCAGGTCTTATTTGTGTGTTTTCCTTCTGAAATTTCCCCCAAGCACTGGCTACATGCCAGGCCCTTTTTTCCTTCCCTAGTGACTTTGGCTGACCTCTCCAACTCCCAATCTTTATCTCTCCAGAGCCCCAGCTATCTCCATGCCCTCCCAAACAGGCCCTGTGTACAAGATTTCTGTTACCTGGTCCCTCTGTCTCTGTCTTGTTCACCAACTCTTCCATTAAACAATCATGAAACCTATCTAATTCCATCTCCTAAGAACCTCTGGCCTTCTCTCCAGCTTTGTCTGCACCACCCCATGACTTCACTCTATTTTTAAGTAGCACAGACCTGAGTCTGTCATTCTTCCACTGAACATATATATATATATATATATACACACACACACACTGTTGTTCTTCAACTCTCAATACTGCAGCTCTGCTCTGGCTTGCTTTTCCGTTGCACACTTGTCTGGTATTCCAGATGTCAGTTCCTGAACCTCCTATTTCCCCCCTCGTGGAGGTCTTTTCAGATGCCCAGCTTCTCCCATCACTGTTCCCACCCACGACTAGGAGTCCTGGGCTACTCCAAATAAGCCTTTATTCCAAGGCACTGACCATTTTGTCCCTCCGAGGTAGCACCTCGCACCAGGGCTGCCCACTGTTGTGCTTCTTGAGAGTTGAGGAAGTGCACACTGAAGGTGCCAGGCCCTCCTGGCGGAGGTTGCAGCTCATGTAGGTTGGGGCCACGGATGGTGTAGCAAATAGACTCCAAGGGCCACTCGAAACTGACCTGAAGAGGGAGCCCAGGGTCAGTGGTCCCTCACCTTGAATCACAGGATTCAAGAAACAGGTGACATACGTCCTGTCTACTTGTAAAGCAAGTATTAGACTCATTCCATTTTACAGAGAAGCTAAAAAAGTAACTGCTTAAGGGCACTCTGCAGGACACCGCGGGGGCGGGGGGGGGGATGACGCCGGCCCACACTCACCGCCCCTGGGCCCTCGCCTAACAGCTCCAGCCGGAAGCGCCCAGGCCGCTCCGGATCTGCACTCAGCTGCAGCCGGTGCAGCTGCGCCTCGGCGTCCTGCCCGGCGCCCAGGGGCCTCACCGCGGCATGCACAGCCAGGAGCACAGACGGCAAACCCGAGTCTTCGGCCGCTGCCGTCCCGCCGGCGGGCGGCGCCATAATCGGATCCGGCAGGGTCCTGCCCTCCGAGCCCGCTTCCGTGATACAGGACGACTAAGCGCTTCCTCCGGAGGAAACCCGGGCTGTGAGCCTGGGTTCCGTGTGGATGCGTCAGAGCGTCGGAAACCGAAAAGACCCACCGACTGAGCCTGAACTGCTGTGTTCGGGGTGGACTAGGTCCGAGGATCTCCAGACAGGGGCCGGGCAGTCCCGGGTGAGCTGGGCCCGCGGGCAGCGTTAAGGACCGAGCACTAGTCACCAACAGAGGGCAAGCGTGAACTCTGCTGCCAGACAACACTACCCCAGCACCTGGCTGGAGCGCGCGGTAAGGGACCCAGCACCCACACCGAGCACTCCGTGAGTGGTTATGGTTCTGGGAACAGGGTTGGCCACCGGGGGCGGAGTGGGAGTGATCTTAGCCAATGAACACTAAGAAAAGAGGCGGGTTCGTTAGCCAGGAACTGATAGATAGACCATTCAGCCAATAGGCTTGGAAGATAGCACTGAGTGACAGAAAGCGCCCCCAATGGCTCGTCGAGCTGTGTGTTCCGAAGCTAAGCGGACCATTTAGGGCAGTGGGGCCGGGCCTTGCGGACGCTTGTTGTTGTCTGGCCGGGGGAGGCGGAGGTCGCTGTTTGGTTCTCTCGCTGGTGATCTGTAGCGGTCCGCGGCAGGTCGGTCGGGAAGGCGGGAGCTGCAGCGGGGAGAGGCTATGTGGCGGTGGCAGCCCGCATGGGCCGGCAAGGCCTGGAGTAACGGGACGTCGCCGCGAAGCTTCCCCCGAAAACAGTGCGGCCCGAGTGGAGGCCGCGGCGCCGCCCTCCAGCTCTGAGGAGCCCGCGCTGCGCGCAGACCCCCGCCGCCTTCGCCTCGGCCCCAACGCCAAGCTACCCGGCTAGCCTGGCCCGATCTAGCCCGTCCCTGGCAGGTGGGTGTCGGCCCTGCGCCCCGACCCGCCCGGGACCGGGGGGAACCACAGTCCCCGGCAGGCCTCGCCTTAGTGCACTGCCTCCTGGGACTTGTAGTTCGGTCGCTGCCCGCGCTGCGCGCAGACCCCCGCCGCCTTCGCCTCGGCCCCAACGCCAAGCTACCCGGCTAGCCTGGCCCGATCTAGCCCGTCCCTGGCAGGTGGGTGTCGGCCCTGCGCCCCGACCCGCCCGGGACCGGGGGGAACCACAGTCCCCGGCAGGCCTCGCCTTAGTGCACTGCCTCCTGGGACTTGTAGTTCGGTCGCTGCCCAGCGGGAGCGCCTCTCTTTGGTGCACTACCTCCTGGGGCTTGTAGTCCCGTCCCTCCCCACCCCCACCCGCCACCCCGGCGTCTCTGCTAGTGCCCCTTGCTTAGCGGGAGCTGCGGCCGGGCGGACGCTGGCATAAGCCATGGGGCCTTCCCACTTCTTTTGGCGTACGAGGAGAACTAGGCATACTTATAGAATAGAACCGAGAGCTCTAAGAGCTCTCCAGGGAGCTTCTTAGAACAGGGAAAGAGCGCCCATCCCGGTGATCCATAGGGCGTGAGCCCCAGATGTCCTGGTTTCTAACGGGATTGCAGGTTCTTACCCTGAGGACCTTAGCACAGCCTGAGGGTTTTTGCAGAGTGCAGGCGTCATTCTTTAGCTTGTTCTTTTTGGATGGGGCTAGGAAACAACCGAGGGAGTGACTATCCAGCAGTCCCAGGGTGAGCAGAATACAGGCTGAGCCCCCAGGTGGTTCCAGGATCCTGTACAGTGCAGGAGGTGTTGGCTGAATTGGAGCGTGGGCTTGCACGAAATGATCGTATCATTTCTCTGCCAAAGCTGAGTGTCAGTTGCAGGTAGATTAAAGGAGAGGAGCTGTGGGCTCCTCTAAACTTACCTGGGAACAGTGCCCTGCAAGTGGGCAGGAAGGCAGAAGGTAGAGCTCTTTGGAACTAGGTAGTCACAGCTGGCTTCCCACATCTTCAGGTAGCCCCATTGTAGTCCCTCTGGCACAAGGAGTCCCCTCCCAAAGGACATGAAGCTACTGGAGAACTCCAGCTTTGAGGCCATCAACTCGCAGTTGACAGTGGAGACTGGAGATGCCCATATTATTGGCAGGTGAGGCTGGAGGCTCTGCGGGGATCAGCTGTCTTAAAGGTCACTGCCTTGGTCCCTGAGTTAAACCCCAGGGGCATCATGCTCCATGGTCCTGCCTGCATTCTGTAGGATCGAAAGCTACTCATGTAAGATGGCGGGAGATGATAAACACATGTTCAAGCAGTTCTGCCAGGAGGGCCAGCCCCACGTGCTGGAAGCACTGTCCCCACCCCAGACCTCGGGCCTCAGCCCCAGCAGGTGAGTTGAGTTGGGGCCTGCCTTTTTGAGGATGTGGGATGGTGGGCTAGACTGACATTTGTCTCTGTGCAGACTGAGCAAGAGCCAGGGTGGTGAGGATGAGAGTCCCCTCAGCGACAAGTGCAGCCGCAAGACCCTCTTCTATCTGATTGCCACACTCAATGAGTCCTTCCGGCCGGACTATGACTTCAGCACAGCCCGGAGCCATGAGTTCAGCCGGGAACCCAGTCTCAGCTGGGTAAGGATGGGTGGAGGGACCCAAAACCTTGTAGCCATTCCCATTGCTTTTCCCTCTTTGAATGGTTCTTGGGAGCCACCTGCTGCCCTGGACCTACGTCATCCCTGACTGTAACCTACCCTAGGTGGTAAATGCAGTCAACTGCAGCCTGTTCTCAGCTGTGCGGGAGGACTTCAAGGCCCTGAAGCCACAGCTGTGGAATGCAGTGGATGAGGAGATCTGCCTAGCTGAATGTGATATCTACAGGTGGGTTCATGTCCTTTCAGGTGGGCCCTTCAGCTGTGTGTGGCAGTGGAAGCCTCACACGTCTGCTTGACCCACCCTCCAGCTATAACCCAGATCTGGACTCAGACCCCTTTGGGGAGGATGGCAGCCTCTGGTCCTTCAACTATTTCTTTTATAACAAGCGTCTCAAGCGAATTGTCTTCTTCAGCTGCCGCTCCATCAGGTTGGTACCACCACTTTCCTTCCCCCAGCTCCTTCTACCCACACCATTCCTAACTAGGTCTGGCCTCCCTGAGCAGGCCTGGGGCAGGCAGGTGGTCCTAAGACTGATTTCTCCTCCCACCCAGTGGTTCCACTTACACACCCTCAGAGGCAGGCAATGCACTGGACCTGGAACTGGGGGCAGAAGAGGTTGAGGAAGAGAGTGGAGGTGGAAGCAGTGAGGGTGGGGCTGAGGAGACCAGCACCATGGAGGAAGACAGGTGTGTGATGCTGGTGGTGGCCCCATCCTCTGGAGCCTGGAGTGGGTGGGATCAGGGTCCACTCTGCCTGGTCTTAATGGTACCTCCTGAAGACCTGCTGTGTGCCAACCCCTGCCTAGGGTTCCAGTGATCTGTATGTGATGAGGAAGAGCAGAAACCTCAGCTTCATCCAGCTTCAATCAGTGCCTGGATCTGCTCACCTGAGGAGCCCCAGAGCCTCCCCAGATGCTGGCTACACCCTGGTACTGCCACAGTCCTGGCACTGTCTGAGGCCATACCCACCTAGCCTTTGACTTCAGCCTGTGGATGTCCACTGACCCTTGCAGGCTTCTACTGCCCAAGCTGTGGCTGGACTTGACAGCACAGGGCCTTATGGAAAGAGTGACTGCCCTGCACCAACAGTCTGCCAAAGGCAGAACATCTGGACCACAGAGTTTATTTTTGTATTTCTTATTGGGCCTGTACACTCCAGCTCTAAGGGCCAGTGACTTAAGGCTTTGTAAACAGGGCCCAGTGTTTACCGGCTCTGGTCTTGGGCCGGCCCCTGGTGCCCACTTGTCCCCTCACCTTACCCGGTGGGCCATGTGCACTGAATGTCACTTTGCTGCAGCTCATTCGTTTCCAATAAAAGTTTCTGTGACTTAGAACCGGATGGTTTGTGGGGGCGGGGCCTGCGTGGGGGCGGGGCGTGTAGCTCTGGTATCCTAGCAACAGCTACTGCCCCGAGACCATTCAATCCCAAGAGCTGTTAGGACTCCCGGACTCCAGGACATGGAGAACACCATGATAGACACAAACAGCACCCTTGCAGCTGAGGGCGACAACTTGGCTGTGGAGGTGGACCTGTATGATCTGAATAACTATGATGTCCCAGACCCTGGGGTTCTCTCGGAAAAGAATGGTGAGGGGACCTAGCACGATCCAGGTGCCCCGCTAGGAAGCAGATCTTACTCAGACTCTGTTCAGTCCTGGAGGTGCAACTCCCTTGGGCAGTCTGACCCAGTATGGCCCTCAGAGGAGGGCTCCTTGTCACCCACGACCTCTAGGGTTGGGGCACAAGGCTCTAGATGACACTGCCTCCTCTGGCCCACAGAGCTGGATCTCATGGAGCCTCCACAGGTCCTGCAGCTCTTTACTAACAGCCAGCGTTGGCGGAACATGACACTGTGTTCCCGGGCCAGACAGCTGTGGCTGCACCTACGGGCATACCTCCACGACATTGTAGAAAATGTGCAGCTCTCTACAAGGCCTCTTTCTAGGTGGGGTTTTCCTTAGAGATACTGGGTACCAACTCTGCTGGTCCTCTGGAGTTTCCTTAGGCAAAAGGGCTCCTGCCCCCATCACTTATATATGGGTCTATCTAATCTGGTTTACAGGAAAAAAGATCAGAGCTTCGGGTCTCTCGCTTGACCCATGGGCTGGAGCCACTGCGTCGCCTGGAGGTGGCAGCTGGGCTGTGCTCAGTAGCACAGGATTTAATGGGTAGACGCTTCGTGGTGCTAGATGGTGCAGGTTACCTGCACCAGCATACAAAGGATGGCTGGATAATGGTGAAGTTGCAGGCTCCTGTGGCACTTAATGGGCTGGTGACCATGCTGGGCCCTCTGGGAGAGGTGGGTCGCTTCGTAGGTTGGGGCCCTGCTGGTGTGGCCATACTGGGGCCAGACTTCAACCTAATGTGGCTGAGCAAGCCACAGGTGAGCAAGAAACTGGGCCAGGAGCCCATTTGCTGCTTACCGGTACCCAACCTGGGGCTGTTGCTTGTGGCCCAAGTCAGCGGCAGCCTGGAGCTCTGGAGGTTCCGTTCAGGTGGTCGCCGCCTGGTGTCCTGTGGTTTACCCTTGCATCCACCACCAGGCCTGACAGGCTCCCTCCAGCGTCTGACTCTAGGTCCCACAACTAACCGTCACACACCCCAGCATTGCTTCGCTGCCTATGGCTCAGCCGTGCTCACTTTTGATCTGAACTCCTGGGCTCTCGTAGATGTATGCCAGGATCTGCACAAAACGTGAGGGGAGTAAGAGGATAGGTGGATGGGAGGCAGATCCCCTGAGGAGAGTCACTCACTGCAGGGGCTGTGCTGAATTCAGATGGTTTCCCATTCCCCACCACCTCTAGCATCATCTCTGACCTGGAGTACTGTGAGGAGGTAGAGGCCATGGTGACAGCTTCCTGGGACAGTACAGTGAAGGTGTGGGAGGCTGACTGGCAGATCCGGATGGTGTTCGTGGGCCACACAGGTGCGCCACAGTCTGACAGCTCTTGCAGCCCCTCTCTTTTAAAGAGCTCAAGTCTGTCCAGCATCTCTACCAGCTCTGGGCAGCTTCTGCGTGTTGGCTCCATCCCAGGAACTCCTCCCTAAGTTCTAGTGTACCAGATTGACCTGCATCTCTCCTGCAGGCCCGGTGACAGCTATGACTGTGCTCCCGAACAGCACACTGGTGGTGTCCGCCTCGCAGGATGGGACGCTACGCACGTGGGACCTGCAGGCAGCAGCTCAGGTGGGAGAGGTAACCCTGGGCAATTGGAGCTGGAATTCACCCTCTAGGAGAGTGAGCCGTTTGCTGGCCCCTGCAGGCCCTGGCTGGCCGGTGCTCTCTCTGTGCTCAAAAAGCGTGGAGCTGTTTGGCCTTCGCGATTTGTACACACCATTGGCGCAGCTGTCTGCGCGGGTGCTCCACTTCCAGGTGGCACCAGCGCTGCCAGCACCCACTGACCCATCTCTACCTTCGCGCCTTGTGTGCGCCTGTGCAGATGGGTCAGTCTATGTGGTGTCGGCTGTAACTGGATGCACAGTGAGCTCACTGATGCTAGAGCCAGAGGACTGTGCAACTTCGGTGGCTTATTGTTTGTCCAGAGAAGCACTTTGGCTGCTGACACGCTCAGGGCACCTAGTACGTGTCAATGCAGCACGCTCTCCCATGGTCGTGCAACATCGCCTGCCCTCACCTGCACCCCCGGCACCACAGCCCTGCTGCCTGCATCTCTATAGCCACCTCATAGATGCTCGAAGCGCATTCACCTGTTGGGAGATTGTGCGCCGGAATCGAGGTGACTTGTGCCGCAGCACCATCGCCTGGGCCTGGAAGAACAAAAATAGGTGGGTATTAGGACCACCTAAGGCTGGAAGGGCCGAATGTGATCAATATAGTGACAGAGCCCCTGCCAGCAGGCTCTGTTACCTCCTGCAGGTACCTGCCGATGATGGGACACACAGATGGCACTCTGTCAGTTCTGGATTGGCGCTCATCAGTGACAGTCTTTTGTACAGAAGCACATAGTCCAGGTCCAGTGACTGCTATTGCGTCTACCTGGAACAGCATTGTGACTTCAGGTCAGTACTTGCTCTCACTATAAGGCAGCCTGGGAGCCCCTCTCCTTTCTGAAGTATCAGCCCTGGCTACTGCTACCTACAGGTGGAGATCTGACTGTAAAGATGTGGCGAGTATTCCCATATGCGGAGGAGAGCCTGAGCCTGCTGCACACATTCTCTGGTTGCCACCCAGTGGTCATGCTCTGTGCCCTGGACAAGCGTGTCACTGTAGGATTTGAGGACCCAGAGAGTGCCACCTATGGCCTGGTACAATTTGGCTTAGGTGACAAGATGCGCTATGACCACCGGCCACAGGATGACCCTATGGATCACATCACTGGTGAGGAGCGTGGAGCAAAGCTGAAACCTGAATCCTTATTCTCAGTTAAACATTTTCTGTTTTTTTTTGTTTGTTTGTTTGTTTTCTGAGTCCTTCTTCTTACCTGGTTCCTAACCTTAGCTCTGTCCCCAGGCCTGTGCTGCTGCCCCACCCTCAAGCTCTATGCCTGTTCCAGCTTGGATTGCACTGTTAGAATCTGGACCTGGGAGAACCACCTGCTACGGTGGGCTGTGGGAGTAGGGGGTGTGGTGAGGGACTGGGTTCTCCTAACCCTGCTTCTCGTTAAAGTCCAGTGGCTGGACTTAGGGGACAAAGCCTTGCCCTTGCTACTGCCTGAGTCCCACTCTAAAGCAGGGGCTAGACTCTGGGGCTCTGGGCATCTCTGCAGGCTCCTGCAGCTGGATGGTCCTCCTCAGGCCCTGGCCTTCTCCAGCAACAGTGGGGACCTAGTGCTGGCGCTAGGTTCCCGCCTTTGCCTGGTGTCCCATAAGCTCTACCTACCCACATCCTATCTGGTTAAGGTATGTGGTGAGGACAGGGTGGTCAAGTTGGGGCTGCTGCTCCAGGCCGGGGATCAAACCTCTACTTGCTTTCTCAGAAACTGTGTCAGAAGGCCCCTGATGTGGTGTATGACCCTCCGCTGCCACTGACCAGCCAGAAGCCACTGACATCCGCCCAGTTGCAGAGGCTTTCCAGCCTGCACGGGGCAGATAGCCTCAGGTCTGCTGGCAGGCCTGTTCATCTGCCCTTGCTTAGCTGTGTGCCCCTAGTATGAGGACTCTGCATTCCTGAATCCCTCTAGGACTGCCACACCCCAGTCCCAGAATCCTTTCTCCTGGCTGGTCCTCACTCAAGCTTCTGACCCATTCTACTGGTAATGCTCCAGATCTCACCTGTGTCTGTCCCTGTCTCCAGTGCAGCTATGCCCTTCATCCATCACCACACAGCAACACTTCAGCAGCCAGTGTTGAAGGAGGTAGTGTGGGTCTTAATCCCTGCCAGCCCAATGTCCAGCTCTGCCCCATGCCCAGATTCAGGCCACAGCCTCTCAGTCCCTGGCCTGGGGCCCTACCCCCACCCCATGGTTGCTTGGGCAGCACATAACAAGTCTTCAATGAAGTATAGACTGATCTCTGATCCCCACTTCAGGACTTGGAGGATCTGATGGCCCGGGATCAAGACCTTCAGCAATTGAGACTTGGGCTAGTGGTCCCAAAAGAATGGCCCCCACCCTCCTGGAAGCTGCGCCAGGAAGCTTTTGACAACTACCTACAACTGATCTATGGCCCTGACCTGCTTGTAGGTGTGGGGTCAGTCCCTGCCTCTGCCCTACCCTTGACCCTGGCCCCTTCCCTTACCCCAGGCCTGACACAGCTACCTATTCCTGTATCAGGACATAAAATCTGGAAGAGAATCTGGGCAGTGGGGCACCGGGGCCACCAACACAGAGGAAGAGTCCCAGGACACGTGGGACCAGACCAAAGCTGCCACCTATATTGGGCAGGCTTCAGTCAGCATGGAAGCTGAACCAGTTCCCACACGCCTAGCCCCACAGACCCCAGGGGCCCCAGGCAGGCACTTTGCCTGCCCTCCCCATGTCTCCTTGCCCATTCCACCCACCCACCAGAATGTGCATAGCCGAGCGTCCCAGGTGAGGCTTCCTTCTCCTCCTACAGCCCTGCTTGACATTGTGGTCCCTGCCCTGACACCTTGTAACTCTTTGGGTAACTCCTTTGATGCCCTAGCTTCTAGCACATTCTTCTTTGAGCTATGATCTGGGCCTCAGTCTGGATCTGCAGCTTCAGTGGGATGAGACTGCAGGGAAGACCATGAACCTGAACACATCCTCCATCCTCAAGCATAGGGTAAGAAATCCAGCAAGTGGGAAGCTGCCTACCCAAGGGCAGTTTCAAGGGGTTCTGGGGGTTGTGCTCTATTCTGAATCCCTGTTACCTACCCAGGCTCCACTGTTGCTGCAGAGACAGCCCACGGAGCCTCCCTCAAACCTCGGGGGCTTCTTTCCTGACACCATAAAGTCCCACATGGTGAGACCTCCTGGTTCTTCCCAGAGGTGCCCCTTTCCAGGGGTCATTCTTTTTGAATGTCCCATCTCCCTTTGCTGTAGGCCATTGTGTCCCAATCACACCCAAGGGCCATGACCACCTTGGAGCCTCTAGTGCCTGGCCCAGTTTTGGTGTAGCTGTGGGCATGGGTTCCTTGCTGCCTCCCAGGTTTGAACTAGGGAATCCCTCACCACTGATTGTGTCTGCATATCCCTCTCCCTAGTGGAATGTTATGTTTCCTGTGGACTTTTTCTGGAAGACCAGAGTGCCTGTGCTTCAGAAGAGCAAAGTCAAGTGGCACCAGTCCCTCAAGATTCACTATCTTGCCATACTTGGCTCTCCTGGGCACCCAGACAGACTCTAGGCCCTTCCTTGCTCAGTTCACACCTGGCTCCTGCTCGGGTGTATCATCGGCCCTTCCAGCTTGCATAGCCCCATCTACTTACTCCATTGAGCTCTGTCCAGGATCCTTTCTTCCATGCCCCGCTTGACCATGTTTTTTATAGACATCCCTGGTTAGGTTTCAGGTCAAGTACCATTGAGAGCATCTGTTTGGTCAGGGCCCACCAGAAGCCAGTCACCTCCAGATTTCCCATTTAATTTCCAGTCCACACCCCTGAGACTGTCCTTCTACCTGGCCTCCCAAGCCAAACCACCCATCCGTGTGTTGAGAGCAGAGGTTTTGCCAGTCCAAGCTGCCTCTTAGAGGCCTATGCTCACGGGAGTTGCTCCCCAGTGGTGTTCCAACTGTGGGGCTTCAGATTCTCAGCCTACCCTGTTATCTACCTGCAGCACTGCCCACGGCCCATCAGCTTCCCTGGTCATGTGCCCAACTCTGTGGTACTGCAGCGGATGTGGTTCCACGCAGAGGTCCGCTGCCTTGGATCCCTGGCTGAGCTCTCCTCCCAGAGTAGATTCAAGGCAAGAAATAGGGCTTTGGATTTTCAGGGAGGGGACTGCTATCCCCACAGCCTGCCACATGCCTCTTAGACTCTTCCCTCTGCAGCCCAGTGGAAGCCAGGATGACCTGTGGCTAAAGCACCGCAGGTTTTCCACTGCCAGGTGGCGGAGGAAGCTGATCCACTGGCTTCCCAGGGAAGGGGAAGAGAAGGAGGAAGAGGAAGAGGAGGAGGAAGAAGAGGACTTGGAGCACTTGGAGGAGCTAGAGATGGACTGGATCTCTTCTCCCATGATTTCTGATGAACAGCTAGAAGTATTGGAACCAGACGCTGGAGTAAGCACCCCAGGCTCAGTGGAAGGGTAGGACTGGTGCTCAAAGGGGTGGACCTGCAGCTGCTGTCACTTCCCCTAGAGCTCACCAGACTTGACCACAAAACCCTCCAAATCCCATGAAGCCCCCAAGACCAAGACCCACATTGGTTCCCTGCACCACCGTGGGCACCAGCTCTGGGGAGAGCGCAATGGGCGTTTGCCCAGGCTCCTGCATTTTTTCATTGTTCAGAACTGGTTCAAAAAGCTGTTCCCCATCTTCACCTTGGAGGTTCGGAGCTCTGGGAAGCTGGGAAGCCCAGGATAGGGTGGAGGAAGGAGAGAAGGGAGGGGCCTGTCCTGTCTGCATACAGAGTGAAAGTTGGGCCTGGACAGGGCTTCAGCACATCTTCCCACAGGCCTACCCAGAGATGGGCACAGTGGAGGGCCTGGCCTTGATGTTTGTGGACTTCCTAGAACAGGCCACCTGGCCAGATCGAGTGCATATTCTAAATGCCCTTTTGAGGCTGTTGCCTGATATGAGCAGCAACCTCTGCAACCAGCTGAAGGAAAAACTCTTGTACTTGCTCAACCTAGACCAGCCCCCCAGTCTCCAGGTGAGTCCCTCCACAGCCCCATCCCTACCCCCCCAGTTCCAGCACTGACCAGTCTCCTTCCACCTGAGCCTAGGATCAGACTCAGAAGCAGTTTGTGATGCTGGCACTGCAGCTGCTCCTGGCCTGCACCCTGGAGTCTCGAGATGTTGTGCTAGAGATTATGTCCTACTTCCTCTACTCTCCAGCCAATTGCCAGTGAGTTGTGCTCCTCCTGGGTTCTCCCTAGCAGCCTGGGAGGACTCAGATTAAGCCTCATCCACCTGTGCCAGGAAGGAGCTCAAGAGTCTGCTCAATGGGCTGGGCCTCCATGACCCAGAGGGCTTCCTGTTCAAGGAGATGATGACCTGGGTTCAGGGTGCCAACCTTGGCTCCAAGGCCATGCTTCGTATACAGTGTCAACAGAAGCTGGATGACATGATCCTCCAGGTCTGGTGGGCCAATGGTTGGGTGGCCCACCGAATGGGAACCTGTCATCTCCTCCATGGGTCTCCCAAAAGTCTTAGAGAGGAAGCTCAGTGGTGCTCACAGGAATGCCCTGGGTTTTCTCCAACCAGAACATCTCTTGCAGTCTCCCTGTACAGGAGAATGCTGCATGGGGTGGGGGGGTGTCCAGATGAGACCCCCCCGGGACTGGGGCTTGGGTAGAGGACATGGAAATTACAGTGGCCACGGACAAAGGTCCTTCCTCTATGTGTCACTCCCCCATAGATGGATATCTTGGAGCACTCTGCCACCAGTTCTTCTCTGGAGCCTCTCAGGGAGGTCTCCTCCCAAGCCTCGCCTATCCCTGGGGCACCCTTGTGTACCATGAGCATCTCTTGGACACCTCGAGTGTCAGAAGTGCCCTTTCGTGTTCCAGAGGTGACAGTGTCACCTGTGCCTTCACCGGTGGAGTTTAAGGCATCAGTCTTGGAACTCCAGGCCCCAAGCACCCTGGTGCATATGCGCACCCTGCGGACCAAACGGGCACTGCCTGAATCGCTGATGCCCTTCTGCACTGTGCCGGAGACCTACTTGCATGGGCACCAGGCTACTACACTGAATATTAGGCCACTGCCACTGGAGCAGACTGAATGGTCACACTTGCAGATGCTAGACTTGTGCCATATTGATGCGCTCAATTTCTTCTGTGAGAAGCAGCGGGTGCAGCAGCTCGGCTTGATAGAGGATGAGTGCTTGACTCTTTCACCCCTGTCCCTGTCCTGGCGCCAAATGAGACCCAACACTGTGATACGGCCACCCAGGGACCATTGGTGTGCAGGACAGTGGGCAGGGTGGGACTGGGCTGGGCTGAGCCTGTGTGGGTTGCAGGGCAAGATCTGGCTGAATCCCCTCCCTTTTTCAGGCTCTGCCCCATTCTCCGGCTGCAGGAGGCCAAGACACAGAGCTTTGGGATGGTGCTAAGAGGCAAGTGGACACAGGGGTAAAGATTGGGCCCTAATGCCCCCACCCTACCTTTGCTCATAGCCTCACTGCCTGGCTCTCCCACACCCAGGCCACAGGCTGTCCCACCGGGCCCCTGCACGTGAAGGCTCAATCCGGATGTTGAAGCTGCCGCTGCCCCGGGTGGAGTTGCAGCCCTTCCCTCCAGGCTGGCCCGCACCCCAACGGGCGCTACCTCCGTTGCTCCTGCAGCCTGCACTGCAGCGCTATTTTCTGCCCCAAGATTCGAACCCTGGCACTTACAACTGACCTGGCAGATGACCAAGGCCTAATGTCCACCATCTACTTTCCTCCTCTCACCACCTCAGCAAGTCACAATATGACTCTTGTCCTTCTTTGCACCTGGCAGAGGCCCTTAATCTGGAATAAAGTCCAGAGACTTTGGCAAGCACACTGGGATTCTATCTCCATCCCTCCAGGGCTCTGGGGTATACAGGGCCGGAAGAGAGCTGAACCTGCAATTATCAGGTGGTCTGTGGAGCATTTGGGACAGGGTCAGGGTGGGTGGAGGAGCAGCCCTCCTCATAGGTTGCGCTTTGTAGATGGAGCAGAGACACAGAGTGTGGATCAATTACTGGTGGTAGGAGGAGAAAACACTATAGAGATGGTTTCCTGGGAGAAGAATGCTAGGTATTGGGGCGGGTGTGCCTTTAATCCCAGCATTCAGGAGGCAGAGACAGGTGGATCTCTGTGAGTTTGAGGCTCCATGGTGAATCCAGGACAGCTGGGGCTACAAGGAGATCCTGTCTCAAAAAGACCGAAAAAAAAAATTACATATATACAGGGGCTGGAGAGATGGTTCAGTGGTTAAGAACACTGGTTGTTCTTGCAGAAGACCCGGGTTCAAATCCCAGCACCTACATGGCAGCTAACAACTGTGCGTAACTCCAGTTCCAGGGGGATCTGACAGCCTCTTCTGTCCTCCTCGGGCATTGTATGACATGGGTGCACTTACCTACATGCAGGCAATACGTGCATAAACATAATTTTAAAATTACACATATTTGTGTGTGTGTGTGTGTGTGTGTGTGTAAACCAAAGAACAACTTTCAGGAGTTGGTTCTCTTCTATCATGTGAGTCCTGGGTTGTCAGCCTTGGTGGCAAGTGCCTTTACCTACTGAGCCATCTTGCTGGCCCTAAAAGTTTTTTAACGTTTAAAGTTACTTTTGAGTATAGGAAGTGCTTCCATGCCACAACATGTGTGTGGAAGTCAGAGGAGAAGTTGAGGGAGTTGCTTCTCTCCTTCCACTATGTGAAACCCATTGAGTCATCTTGCCTGCCCCCTTGGACCTAAATTGTTTTTAAAAAAATTATTGTATTTATACATGTTCATTTATGCACATGCCACATATATGTGCATGCTTTGGAGACCAGAGGTTGATGTTGGATGTTTTTGTTCATTGCTCTATATTTTTATTTACTTTTTTTTGGTCTTTTTGAGACAGAGTCTCCCTGAAGATCCAGCTGGCCTGGAACTCACTATGTAGACCAAGCTGGCCTTGAATTCATAGAGATCTGCCTGCCTCTGCCTCCTGAGAGCTGGGATTAAAGGTGTGTGCCACCACGCTCAGCTTATTTGTTATTTAAATTTTTATGTGTATGTATGTGTGTTTGTGCCATGTGTGTGGGTGCCTGAAGAGGCCAGAAGACTGTTGGATCCTGGAGCTGGAGTTATAGACAGTTGTGAGGCACACAAGGGTATTGGCTATTGAACTTGGGTCCTCTGAAGGAGCAGCAAGGGCTCATCTCTCCAGCTCTCTACCTTATTTTCTGAGACAGGGTCTCTCTGAAACTGGAGCTTACCAATGCTGTTAGGCTGGGTGGCCAGTGGGCCCCAGGGATTCTACTGTTTCCACATCCCTAGCACTGGGGTTACAGATATGTGCTGCCATTCCCTGATTTTATGGGGGTGTTGGGCATCTGAAATCAGCTTTGTTCTCATTCAGCAGGTACTTTACGAACTGAACCATCTCCTGGCCCCATATTTGTTTTTTGAGACTGGTCTCAGTATGTAGCCTAGGTTGGCCTCAAACTCCCAGGAATCCTCTGCCTTGGCCTCCTAAGTTCTGGGATTAAAAGCATGCACCATCACACTGAGCTAAGAAATGCCTTTTAGATGAAAGCATGAGAGAGTAGGGAGAATTTAAATAGTTAAAAACCTCCACTATCCATGAAACAATGTATTTATTAGTAATATACGCCAATTTTAATTAAATCCACTCTTCTATATCATTAATACAGAGAAAAGGCAGGTAGTAAAGGGAAACTCTCACAAATCAATTTTAAAAATCACTTAACTAGCTGGACATTAGGATAGCCTCAGTGTTAACAAATTTAATAGTCTTGTGAGATTCTCAGAATATATCCAGGAGTGAGGTTCTACCCAAAGTCATGCACACTCTAGCTTTAAGCCTAGCTTACTGATATTTTAACATTTATTTGAAAAAAAAAGAAAGAAATGGGGGTTGGAGAGATGGCTCAGCAGTTAAGAACACTGGCTACTCTTGCAAAGGACCCAGGTTCAGTTCCTGGCACCCACATGGTGGCTCACAACCGGGTATAACTCCATTTCCAAGCAATCTGATGCCCTCCTGTGGTCTTTGAGGGCATTGCACAACACAGGTGCACTTACATACACATAAAATTATTTTAATTTTAAAAAGAAAATGAAAACACGCCCAAGAATGAGTGTGCTAATGAGCTGGGTAAAGCTCAAAAAGTCTGTTTCAATGTCTTGCTTTTTAAGATTAAAAATGTTTTTATATGTATGTTTGTGTGTCTGAGTATGGATATGTACACATGAGTTCAGGTACCCTTGGAGGCCAGAAGGGGGTGTTGGATCCCCTCGAGCTGGAATTACAGGTGGTTGTGAGCTGCCCAACAAGGTTGCTGGAAACAGTACCCAGTTCCTCTGAAAGAGCAATACAAGCTCTTAGCGGCTTAGCCAACTCTCCAGACCTGTTTTAACATTCTTATCTGAAAATATTTCTGTACAAAAGAAATATTGTTGGGCTGGAGAGATGGCTCAGCAGTTAAGAACACTGGTTGTTCTTGCAGAAGACCCGGGTTGGAATCCCAGCACCCACATGGCAGCTAACAACTGTCTGTAACTCCAGTCCCAGGGGATCCAACAGCCTCTTCTGACCTCCTCAGGCACTGCATGACATGGGTGCACTTACCTACATGCAGGCAATACACACACACACATAAATTTTTTTAAATTAAAAAAAAAAAAAGAAATATCGTGGGGCTGGGAGATGGTTCATTGGTTGTGGTACTGGCTCTTGCTGAGAGGACCAGGGTCTGAATCCCAGCACCCACATAGAGGCTAAAAACTATCCATAACTCCAGTTTCAGGGGATCTGATGTCCTCTTCAGGCCTCTGCAGGCATTGCACAACACAGGTACACTTACATACATGCAGGTATAACACATAAAATAAAAATTAAAAAGTGTTTTAAAAATTTTTTTTTAATTTTATGTGTATGTGTGTATTGCCTGCATGTAGGTAAGTGCACCCATGTCATGCAATGCCCACAGAGGACAGAAGAGGCCGTCAGATCCCCTGGAACTGGAGTTACTGACAGTTGTTAGCTGCTATGTGGATGCTGGGATTCGAACCTGGGTCTTCTGCAAGAACAATCAGTGTTCTTAACCACTGAGCAATCTCTCCAGCCCCCATAAAATGTGTTTTTTTAAAAAGAAATATTGCCTCTATGCTGGCAGCCTTCACAGCAAATGTTAACTATGTTGGAATCCTTGATTTGCAGCTGGCAAGGGGCTTCAACCAGACCCCAGAATAAGGGGCGCCTTTGTCTTCCTTTGCTCACATAATCTTCCCTGCCTTTCTGTCTGCCTCAGACGAACATTCACTACTTCAGTACCTTCCACCACAAAGGGATGCAGTGCCCAGCAGCTGCTTCGGATGCTGAAACACCACTCTGACCCACATACCAGCTTCCCCAAGTGGGTCTCAGTGTTGGAGTATCTGCAACCAGGAAAATAAGGTGTGAACCAGATGGCATCTGAGGGAGAGGAGCCAAGGTGAACCTTGTGCTCAAACTGATACCCTCTTTCCTTTATGGTCACTACATTTCTACCTAGATTCTGATGAATACTTTGGAGATAGAAAAGTCATTGTTCCCTTGCCGGTTAGATTTGTATGTGGTAAACTAGTTTAGTCTACTTATTCTCACAAATAATATCACAGCTGGAGCTGGAGAGACAGCTCAGTTGTTAAGAGCATTTGGCTGCTATTAACAGAGGACCTGGGTTCAATTCAAAATATTAACATGGCACCTAACAACCCCGTAACTCCAGTTCCAGGGGACCCAATGCCCTCTTCTGGCCTCCACAGGCATTGCAAGACACAGGTGCAGGTAAAGCACTCATACACATAAAGATAAAATAATTATAATTTCATGGGGCATGATGGTGCTCACCTTTAATCCCAGCATTGGGAGGCAGAGGCAGGTGGAACTCTGTGAGTTCAAGGCCAGCCTGGTCTACATAGCGAGTTCCAGGCCAGCTGGGGCTACAGGAATACCGTGTCTCAAAAAAAGACCAAAAAAGAAAGATAAGTAAAACTTAAATATATAAAAAAAGTAATTTCACAGCTATCATGAGCTCCCTGTCATACAGCATGGGTGGGCAAAATGTCTTAATTTCCTGTTGCTGTGCTAAAATACCCTGACAAAGGCATCTTAAGAAAGGGTTTATTTGGCTCACGATTTCAGGTTGCAATCTCTTCTTATGGGGAGATCAAGGCAGCAGGAACGTGAAGCAGCTAGTCACATTATATCCACAGCCAAGAGCACACAGCAATGAATCCATGCTTGTGTATGGCTTGCTTTCTCCATTCTTACATAATCCTGGATTCTGCTTCCTAGGGAATGGTGTTGCACACAGTGGCCAGTTCTTCCCATTAATCAAGATAATCTGCTTCCCAGACACGCTTACAAGTCAACTTAATCTAGATAATACTTCATTGAGATGTCTCTTCCCAAGTGATTCTATGCAGTGTCAAGTGGATAGAGCTAACCATCACAGCAAATGATTTTTTTTCTTTTTTCAGACAGGGTTCCCTGTAGCCCCAACTTGCCTGGAACTTATTATGTAGGCCAGGCTGGTCTTGGGTGCACAGAGATCCACCTGCCTCTGCTTCCCAAGTGCTGAGATTAAAGGTGTGTGCCACCATGCCTAGAGATGGTCTCATTCTTTAGTCCATGTTGGCCTGTAACTCATTATGTAGTCCAGGCCGGCCTCAAACTTGTGGTGATCCTTCTGCCTCAGTACAGACATGACACACTATGCCTGGCTGATTTATTTATGCATTTTTATTAGCACTTATTAACTATACACAATAGGTTTCACAGTGGCGTTTTCACTTATGTGTATAATATGGTTTGATCACATTTCCCCCCATTACTCTCCCTTGTGCCCCTCCTATTCCCACTGGTCTCCTTCCTCTTCCTCATCACCCTCCCTCTTTTACTTTCATACCCTTCTTTTGTTTCATTTCTGGTGACTCATTGAGTTTCATTAGAGTTGCTTAACAGGAGCTTGGATAAAGGGTTATTCACAGGAGCCATGGGCACCTTACAAGTGGCTACATCACTGAAGAAAATGTCTTCTTCCGCCCAGCAACCTTTAACTGATTGTAGCTCTTCAGGGAGGGGTGGTGCCTCCAGAGCCCCTCTCTGCTCCCTAATGGGATGTGGATAGGCCTATCTCCTGTAGGTCTGTGCAGGTAATCACATCTGCTCAGATTCTGAGTGTGAGGGCTTTGCTATACCTGGAGGACCATGAGCTAATGATTTCTTTTAGAACAGCGCACATCTTTTTTTGGTTTTGGCTTCGGTAAGTCTACCAAAATGTTTAACACTATCAATTAGAGCCCTGCATAGTGATGCATGTCTGTAATCTCACCACTTCAGAGGAGGAGTTTAAGACCAGCCTCAGCTATGAAAGATCCTCTCTCAACAGCAACAGCAGAGTAGTGGTTAAGAGCACTTGCTGCTCATACAGAGGTCCCAGGTTTGGTTTCCAGCACCCACATGGTGGCTCACAACCATCTGTAACTTCAGTTCCAGAGGATCCAACACCTTCTTCTGGTCTGTGAGGGCACCAGGCAGACATATGTACACATATATACATGCAGGCAAAATACTCATACACATAAAATTAAAATCTTTAAAACAAAACAAAAAGAACTGGTCCTGGTGGCACATGCCTTTAATCCCAGCACTTGAGAAACTGAGGAAGATCTCTATGTTTGAGGCCAGCCTGGTCAACACAGTAAGTTCCAAGCCAGTCAGGGCTACCTAGTGAGACCCTGTCTCAAAAACAAATAAAAGAGCTGAATATGTAGTTGATAGAGTGTTACCTAGCACGCACAAAACCCTGGGTTCAATCCCCACTACCACAAAAACCACTACATTCCTATAATACTAAGACTCAGAAGATGGAGGCAGAAGGGGCCTGTGCTGGATAGCTTCAATAGTCAACTTGATAAACCTGGGTGGAGTGAACTTCAGTGAAGGAATTTCCTCTGTTGGCCTGTCGCCATGTCTGTGGGGCACTGATTGCTGAGTGATGTGGGTGGTCCCAGCCCACTCTGGATGGTGCCACCCCTGGACAGGTGGTCCTATGTTGTATAAGAAAGCAGGCTGATTAAACAGACCCACAACAAAGAAATTGAAACAGCAATATAAAACCTCCTAAAAAGAAAGCCCAGTCCCAGATGGATTTACAGCAGAATTCTACCAGACATTCAAAGATGTTCTAAAACCAATAAATTATTCAAAAAGATAGAAACAGAGGGAGAACTCCCAAACTCCTTCTATGAAGCTAGTATCACTCTAATACCAAAACCAGGTAAAGACACAACAACAAAAAAGAAAACTATAGGCTCTCATCCTTAATGAACATAGGCGCAAAGATTCTGAACAAAATTCTCGAAACTGCATACAGACACACTAAAAATAGCATCCACCATGGTCAAGTTGGCTTTATTCCAGAGATGCAAAAATGGTTTGATATACACAAGTAATTGTAGCTGGGTGTGCAAGACCCTATCTCAATAATAATTATTATTATTATAATAGTAATAGTAATAGGAGGAGGAGGGTGGCAAGGACTGGATAGATTGCTTAGTTGGTAAAGTGTTTGGTAAGCAAACATGAAGGCCTGGGCCCCAGACCTATGTTTTCAGGAGGTGAAAACAGGGCTTGCTGGTCAGCTAATCTAGCTGAATCAGCAAGCTTCAGGTTCATTGACAGGTTTTGTTTTGAAAAACTGAAGTGGTGGGAGCTGGGGAGATGGCTCAGTTGTTAAAGTGCCTGAGACCCAAGCTGAGGAACCCGAGTTTGGATCCCCAGCACCTACCTATTAAAAAAAAAACTTCCAGTATGCCGGGCGTGGTGGAGCGCATGCCTTTAATCCCAGCAGAGGCAGGCAGATCTCTGAGTTCAAGGCCAGCCTGGTCTGCATAGTGAGTTCCAGGACAGCCCGGGCTACAGAGAAACTCTGTCTCAAAAAGACCCCCCGCCCCGGCCGCAAAAAAAAGTCCAGTATGACTTCACAGCTCTACAGCCCTAGCATGAGGGCCCAGAGCAGACACAGGTGGATCCTGGGAACTTGGTGGTGGCCCGTCTGGCCCGTTAGTGAGTGCAAAGCGGTGAGAGGCGCTGTCTCAAAAGGTGGAAATCAATAGAAGACACCCAACGTCGACTCTATACATGCATGCAAGTACAACTCGCACACATACACCTGCACGCAAACACACACACACACACACACACACACACACACACACACACCCCGAAGCGCCACCAAGACACCATAGCAAGCGACCATACAAGAAAAGGCCAGCAGGGGCCGCCCGTCAGCCGCTCCAGTCCTCCCGCAAAGGTCTCACACCGAGTTCCACAATGCCCCGCGCCTGGACAAGCCACGCCCCTCCACCTGACGCAACGGCCTCGGATTAGCTGCAGAGGCTTTTGCTCTTCTGGTGGGCGGGGCCACGGCTTTGACGCTCCGAGCGGCGGCTGCTGCGCCGAGCAGCATGTCGGGCCTCGGAGCGGGTTCCGGGTCTTTGGAGGCCGTCGCGGAGGCGGAGGCGGCCGAGCTGCTGCCCTTTCTGAGGCCCGGCACGCGTACTGACTTGCAGGCGGCGGCGGCGCAGCACGTGCTGGCGCTGACCGGCGCGGGCCCGGGCCGCTGGCTACTGGCGCGGCAGGCGGCTCTCGTGCGGGCGGTGGCCGAGCTGGCTGCGACCCCGGCCCCGGCTCCTTCCCGTGACGCCGGCCGCGCGCTAGTGAACTTGGCCGCCGAGCCGGGTCTGCACGAGCTGCTGCTGGCGGCCGACCCCGAGCTGCCCGGCCGCCTGCTGGACTGCGCGTTGGACCCTCTGTGGCCCTGGGCGGAGGAAGCGGCCGCCGCGCTTGCCAACCTGAGCCGCGAGCCTGTGGCGTGTGCCGCGGTGATGGGGAAGCTGGCGGCCGCGGAGCCGGGGCAGCCAGATCTGGAGCGGCTGGTGCACGCGCTGTGCACGCCCAGCTACAATGCGGGCGCGCGGCTGCATTATCTGGGGCCGCTGCTCTCTAACCTCAGCCAGCGCGCAGAGGTGCGTGCCTTTCTGCTGGACCCGGACAGGTGAAGCCCAGGCGTTGGCGTGGGCGGCAAGAGGGGGTGGACCTGAGCTGGAATAATCACGAGGGGCGCCTACCAACAGGTGCGTGGTCCAGCGGCTGCTGCCTCTAACCCAGTACACAGACTCCTCGGTGCGCAGGGGCGGAGTGGTGGGAACACTTCGGAATTGCTGCTTCGAGCATCGTGAGTGGCAAGGAGGGTTGTTGGGCTGTTGTTGGGGGTGGGGACTGGACCCCAGGGCCCCTACGGACCTTCCTTGTCCTCACCCCCAGGACACCACAAATGGTTGCTGGGACCTCAAGTCGACATTCTCCCCTTCTTGCTTCTGCCCTTGGCTGGGCCTGAGGAGTTCTCCGAGGAAGAAATGGACCGTGAGTGATTTGGGTGGTTGGAGCCTCAGGGTTGTCTGGGCTGGAGAAGAAAAGGTCTAAGTCTGGAGTCCTTTCTGGAGCCTTCAAGGAGGGAGTTGTTTTCGCACAGGTGAAGTTCACCCAGGCAGCACTTAGCCCAGCTGCCCTGCATAGGCAACTCTCACCTTGCCCCTAGAGCTGCCTGTTGATTTGCAGTACTTGTCACCAGACAAGCAGCGAGAGTCAGATGCTGACATCCGAAAGATGCTCATTGAAGCCATCATGCTGGTGAGCAGGGGTCTGTGATGCTAATTCCACAACATGTACGGTATATGCACATTGCCATCCGAGTACCCTTTTCCATCTCCCCAGCTGACAGCCACTGCGCCTGGTCGGAAGCAGGTGCGGGACCAGGGGTCCTACTTGATCCTTCGGGAGCTACACAGCTGGGAGCCAGAACCTGATGTTCAGGTGGCTTGTGAGAAGCTTATCCAGGTGAGTGCAGGATTGGAGAAGCTAGGGGAATTGTGCCCACACATAGTGAGCTGCTCACCTGCCTCCTCCACCTGCAGGTGCTTATTGGTGATGAGCCAGAGCATGGTTTGGAAAACCTCCTGGAGGTGCAGGTTCCTGAGGATGTGGAGCAGCAGCTGCAGCGTCTGGACCAGCGAGAACGAGAGCTGGCTCAACAGCTAAGAGGAGAGGGTGCCTCACCTACCTGAGGCCCCTTTGGCCTGACTGCTAACTCCAGATCCACCTTTGCCAGGGTTCCCACAAGTTTCTAGGGCAAATGTTCAGTAAGGATTGAGAATAAGGTCCAATTCTGTGCCCCATTGCACCCAGCAGGAATGCAGGTTGTTCAGAGCTGCACCATTCAATCAGAGCTGGCCAGGCATATGAGGCAGGTCATAATGACTGCTGGAGCCATGAAGAGCCTATTTCCAGGCAGTGGTGGGGCTGCATAGAAAACACTGCAAGCTCTTGGGAACCAGCTAGAGCTTCCCACCCCTGAAGGCACTGAAGGATCTGGGCATGAGCAGCCTTGGATGTATAAGCAGTGCTCCTGCTGTGAGCCTCATCCTCTGGGATCCCTTCTGCTTGCCACCTTGGCAGACCGCAATGGATCCCAGGGTCTCTTTCCAGGAGTCTACCCTCTAGGCCTGTCTTTGGATCAGTTGCTGGGTGCTGCTTCCCCTTTATGATCTCCATTTCCCCTTATCACCTGTGACACAGGGCCCTGCCTTTAACCTTTAATTGACTTCCTCAGTCCCAGATGGAAGTGGTGTTCTCACCTAACCATTTAGATAGGATATGCGCCTTGGTCAGCTTTCTCTTGCACCTCAGTTGCCTTTCAAGACATCCAGACCCTCTTCCTGGTCACCTTACCTACCTCTGCAGAGATTTTCCTGTGTGTGCCTGCAGCAGCCTTTTCTTCTCGACATACCTCTCCCATCCACTGTTTGCTCCTCCTCTAGAGCCATGTGTACCTCTCCTCTCCCAGTTCAGTAGGTATCACAGCAGCTCTTACCCCACTCTTCCAGAACCTCAACTCTTGCTCTACCTGTGTGAGGCTTTTGTGTGCTGGCCTATTAGAATGGGTCCTCCCAGGCCCCTGAGACCTGATGGAGCTTTGTTAGTCTTCATGGGTGTTTGCAGTGACTGACTTGACACTTCTGAAGCTGGAGGACTGTTTTGCCTTGTGTTTTATCCCATGACTTGGTGTTTCATTGTGTGCCAGGAGTCTCCCCAGGGAGCCTTCCAGCCTGCCATTAAAGCTCTGACACTCTAGGCTGGTGTGCTTTGTGAGCTGGTGTTTTCTCCCTGATAGATAGCTACATCCTCAGCTCCACAGAATGAAGATTTTTGTCTGCCCACACTCACCCTCCATTGACCAGGTAGTGCCCAGGCATGTTCCCAATGGTGAACATGGGGCATAGAGCGCAACCACCTGCCATGGTGTTCCAGAGCCCAAGTCTGGTAGAACCCACTCCTCTGGTACAGGTTTCCAGGGCCCAGAGAGCTGGACCAGTGACATTCTTCTTGGAGATGTCCTCCTGTTGGGGATACTGCAGCTGTTGCCTCCGATACACAACATTGGTGCCAGGCTCTGTTTTGTCAAGGGATATAGCTGACTGGGAAGCCTCCTGCTCTGCAAAGGACCGAAGCAGAGGATCAGGCAGATTGCCTGAGGCACTGCCTGTGGCCCAATCAGTCACCCATAAGGCATGCCTCACCTGAGGTAGCACCAAGTACTAAAGACAGCGTATGTTTTGCAGGCAGCATCCAACAATGAGCAGCCACTTGCTGCAGTCCCAGGCGTGCACAGGGGTGCAGCTGGAGCAGTCCTCTGATCAGTTCCCGGCACACTGCAGAGGAGGGCTCATGAATGGAGCCTACCAGTAACCCTGACCCACACCCACCAAAGCCAGAAATGCTGGGAACTTGAGGGGGTCATTTGTTCCATACATGGCAAAAGTTCAAGAGTTTCTGCCTGTTATCAAAAGGAGACTTGAGGCATAGAGATGATGTGTCCTGGGCCAGTGCCATGTTAAAAATTCAATGGTGCAGCCGGGCATGGTGGCGCATGCCTTTAATCCCAGCACTCAGGAGGCAGAGGCATGTGGGGAGCTCTGTTGAGTTCAATGCCAGCCTGGTCTACATAGTGAGTTCCAGGACAGCTGGGCTACAGGGAGACTCTCAAAAAGACCAAAAAAAAAAAAAAAAAAAAAAAAATTCAATAGTACAGCTGCCTTTTGGTTCCATCCCCAGGTCAAATTTTCCCAGCTTGCGGTGTATGAACACCTTTACAGGCTATGGGGGTAGGGTAGCCTTTCCTATAGCCCTGGTCTCTGGCTGCTCCCCAGGCCTAAGCTGGGTCTTAGAAGGGACATAGGGTTTTGGTACCTACCTGGGGATAACCCTGGCCAGAACATGGGACCACAGTGCATCATGTGCAGCATACAATGGGGTTGATGTTCCTTGAAGGGCAGCTTCCCAGACACCATGGCATGAAGGATGATGCCTCTGGGGGCACAGCTTCCTCAGGGTGTTGCATATCTCAAGGCTACCCATGGGTCCTTTGGGTGGGGGTGGCATACCTGGGGCACTCCCAGGCTCCACAGATTGGCCTGCTCACCATTGTACTTCTTGCTCATGAGGATGTCTGGGGCTGTGTAGGCCATAGAACCACAGAAGGTGCTCAGCAATGAGTTCTTGAGCCGCATGCGGTTTGCAAAACCAAAATCTACACACAGTATAGAAGGCAGGGCAGCAATCATGGGCAGGTCAGAGAGAGTGGGTTTAGGGGATGTCAAGATGGTGGGGTGGGAGGGGAGTTTGGAGTATGAGTTGCAAAAAGATGGAGCTACTCAGGCTCACATGAGTTTAGGTCAATGGGTTTGGGCTGTAGGTGGGAGATGAATTTAGGCTTTGCGGGAGAACTGGTTAGAGCTAGATTAAAGAGTTAGAACCTGTCTGGGACAGGCAGAAGTTGGAGATGAGTCCAGAAATGGACTGAACCGAGGGAGAGGTCTGGGCTCACCTGTGAGCTTTAGGAAGCCCTGGTCATCCAACAGAATATTTTTCACATTTCAAGTCTGTGGGAGAAGGGAAGCTGGGGCTGGGGCTGGGTTCACATGGGTCAGCAGATAGGCAGGCATGCCAGATGGCACCCTCACCGGTGCACAGTGCCAACATTATGGCAATGGACCACAGCGCTGACCGGTTGCCAGAACAGTTGTCGGGCCTCTTCCTCCTCCAGCCCTGGGCAACAACAGAGGTCTGCCATTGCATTGATGTGCTCTAGCAGGTCACCTCAGCCCTCCAGCTCTAGCACCAAGTAGGAGCGCTGGCTGTTCTGGCAAGTCTCATACAACTGCACCTACCAGACATTCCCACATACTGTTACTCTGAGGAGGGCTTGGGCCAAGGGTGTATTGGGATTGTTTATTATAACAAATCTCTGTAGCAGGATGAGGTTAGGCTTTGTGCCTAGGGGCAAAAGGGAGGTTCCAAGTAGGGGAGGGAGACGTATAGTAGGAAATGGGGAAAGTGGGACAGGCTACTACATTCAGGTGTTTGTAGGTGGCATTGAGTGATGAAATCCCACGGGGCAGGAACTTTCTAGAGAACTCCACTCGAGCCTCAGCCATGGATACAATCTTGATAGCCACCTGAGGGAGAATGGTTACTATGTAAGGCCTCCCCGAATAGGCCCAGCGAACATATTGCTGAACTTCTCAAGGGAGTGGTTGGGTGAACAGTATCCTTGGAAGGCAGTGCCAGCCCCACTTTCCTTTTTGTTCTGGGCAAGTACTTGTTCAAGGGGGTTAGGAACAAAGTTTGGTGAAGCTGGACCTATGGAGGGAGCTAGGGCAGCTGGAGCGTGCCTGAGGAGGTTTAGGAACAGGCCTGCTGGGACTAGGCTGGGGTACCTCAAGGAACACATGGAAAGAGGCAGGCATGCCTCAGCATGGTGTGGTGCTTGCCCTGCAAGTCAGAGGACAGCTTGGGGTTATGCTTCATGCACTCATGAGTGGCGTAGGCCAGGTAGACCTTGGAGAAAGCCCCAGAGCCAATCTTGGAGGAGAGCAGGTAGCCATTGTCCACACATTCTCGACTCTGCTCTGTGAAGGTCCTCTGGTCTGACTTGCTTCTGCTGTTGCCCCTCATGGAGGGCAGGGTACCAACAAAAGGGAGCTTGGCAGTCCAGTTCACTGCCAGTCTGTTCAGGGTAGGAACACAAGTAAGACCTAACTTGTTTCAGAGGGTAGGAAAATGGGAAAAAGGAGGCTGGGCAGGACCTGCAGCTCCCTGAGGGAAACAGCCAAGTTTTAGAAAGTTTCTCAAGACTTAATGGGTTGGAAGCTGAGAGTGTGGGTTAAGAGCCTCAGGTGGGAGGCTAGCACAGCTCTGGACTGGGCAGAGAAGGAAGACTCCAGGGAACTGGGTATAGGTTCTTGAATAGAAGGTTCTACAGATGTTCCTCAAAGAAGGTATCCTTTCAAGACCTGTCATTTCTGAGGACATCTTACTGTATCATCTCTACCCTATGCTATCTTCTTTGGGGTGAGAACCCACATCAAGGGCCAACACTGGAGTGAGTCTTTTCTGGGCCACTCTGCATGTAGTTGGCTATCAAAGACCTTTAAAGAAGCTGGGAGAGATGGGCTTGACACATGCTTTCAATCCCAACACCCAGGAGGCAAGGCAGGTCGATCTGTGAGATGGAGACCAGCCAGGTCTACATAGTGTATTCCAGGCCAGCTGAGGCTACAGGGAGACCCTGTCTCAAAAAAAAAAAAAAAAAAAAAAAAAAAAAAAAAAAAAAAAAAAAGCAAACAGAAGATGGGAGAGGCAGTGTAGGGTTGGGGGTTGAGGGGACAAGGTAGGAGGGCTAGCCTAAGTATATAAGGAAGTAAAAAGAGATGAGCCGTGTTAGCTGCTTTCGAGTGCCGAGGCCACAGCTGAGCCAAGTAGGGAGAGCCAAGGACCCTCTCTTCCTGATCTTCCACTGGATCCTGAGCTTTGACCTATGTCAGACCTACTTCAGGAAGCCTCCCACCTAGAGGGCTCTGCAGGCTTGATCATATCTGCAGGGCAAACAAGGTCTCTGGACCTGGATCATCTCAGACTGTTCAGTGCCAGGAGATGGATGGGAGCCACCATTACTTCTCCCTTGTCTTGACCTCCACAGTCCTCTCAGCATTGTTACTGCCAGGAGTCACAGCTGAGGTCCACTGAGCACATACCATATGCCAGCTGCCATTCTAAGTGGACATTCTAGTTACAGCTCTCTGCCTTGGTCCTGTCCCATTTCCTGAACACACAGAGGTGCCAAAGGTAATTCACATCAAAGATGTCAAATCTGTTTTTTTTTTAATATTTTTATTTTATTTTATTTTTTGGTCTTTTTGAGACAGGGTCTCCCTGTAGCCTGTAGCCCCAGGTGTCCTGGAACTCACTACTAGACCAGGCTGACCTTGAACTCACAGAGATCCACCTGCCTCTGCCTCCCAAGTGCTGGGACTACAGGCATGTGCCACCATGCCCGGCTATTTAATATTTTATTTTTATTTTATGTGTATGAGTGTTTTGCCTGCATGTATGTAAGTGCACCATGTGCGTACAATGCCCATGGAGGCCAGAAGAAGGCATTGTATCCTCTGGAACTGGAGTTATGGATGGTGGTTAGCCATTACATGGGTGCTGGGAATTGAATCCAGGTCCTCTGGAAGAACAGCAATTGTTCTTAACTGCTGAGCCATCTCTCCAGCCCTTCAAATCTGTTTTTTTTTAAATTATTTTTATGTGTATGAGCATTTTGCCTGCATGAATATATCTGCACCATGTGTATGCAGTGCCTATAGGTCAGAAGGGGGAGTAGGATCCCAGGAACTAGAGTTACAGGCAGTTGTGAGCCACCATGTGGGTGCTGGAAATCAAACCCAGGGTTCCTCGCAAGAGCAGCCAATGCTCTTAACCACTGAGCTAACCTCCAGCTCCGAAGTTCTCAAATCTGAATTCAACTGAGCAGTGCATGTTTTCATGTGGTGAAATTGAGGTCCAGTGGTGGCAGAGCCCAGGCCTAAATGTAAGGTCTCTGCTGTAAGCTGAAGGGACCACCACAGTGGCCAGTGGACAGCTGTCCTGAGAGTACCCATAGGGACCTGAAGTATGGTAGAGGTCCAGTGAGCCTTGGGGACTTGTGTCTTCCTGCCTCGAAGTCTATGGGTAAATGTGGCATGCCTTTGCAGTGAGGCTTTGGAATAGGCTAGCCTGTGACATGTTTGCTAATCCATGTTGGCCTGTGAATTTTGGGAGTGACTGACTCATGCCTTATTGTTCCCTTGCTTAGCCACAGTCCTTGTCTAGCAAAGACAAGAAATATAGAAAATATGAGCACACTGGCATATGGCTAAGCTGGGGGTTAGAAAAGAGGAGACTGCTCCTAGGGATTTAATACAGGTTGGCCTCCCAGGGGTTAGAAGGGTGAGGCTGGGGGGCATGAGCGCATGAGCAAACAGGTGAAGGTGATCAAAGATGACTGATCATCTTAAAGCTAGAGTTTGAAAGGAAAAACCATGTGACTCTGGACAGGGCCAGCAGGGCCACTGAGCCTTTCTGCACTCCAGGAGCCTCTCAGCTGTGCCGCTTTTACCTTGCTGGCTCCCATCTATGCCAGAATCCAAATGGAAGCCAGCAACTGTCAAGTTGGGTGATAATAGCCCAGATTCAGAAAGATTACCTGCAAAGTGAGTTTGTGTGTGTGTGTGTGTGTGTGTGTGTGTGTGTGCGCGCATGCGTGTGTGTGCGTGTGTATGTGGTTAATCTCCCTGTAGCCCCAGCTGGCCTGAAACTTACTATGTAGACCAGGCTGGTCTCCATCTTACAGGCATCTGCCTGCCTCTGCCTCCAGTACACTGGTATTAAACGTGTGCACCACCACACCCAGCTACAAAGTGTTTTTTTTTATTAAAAATTTACTTATTCATTTATTTTATCTTATTTTATTTTTGGCCTTTTTGAGACAGGGTCTCCCTGTAGCCCCAGCTGTCCTGGAACTAGCTATGTAGACCAGGCTGGTCTTGAACTCATAGAGATCTGCCTGCCTTTGCCTCCTGAGTGCTGGGATTAAAGGCGTGCACCACCATGCCCAGCTACTTATTTATTTTTAAATATTTTATTATTTTTATTTTTATTTTTTATGTGTATGAGTGTATTGCCTGCATGTATGTGAGTGCACCCATGTTGTGCAATGCCACGGAGGTCAGAAGAGGGCTTCAGATTCCCCTGGAACTGGAGTTAAGGATGGTTTGTAGCTGCTATGTGGGTGCTGGGAATTGAACCCAGGTCCTCTGCAAGAACAGTCAGTGCTCTTAACTGCTGAGCCATCTCTCCAGCCTCTTAAAGATTTTTTTGGGGGGGGCTTTTTAAGACAGGGTCTCCCTGTAGCCTCAGCTGTCCTGGAACTCACTATGTAGACCAGGCTGGCCTTGAACTCAAAGAGATCCGCCTGCCTTTGTCTCCGGAGTGCTGGGATTAAAGGCATGCACCATCACACCACGCCTGGCTAAAGATTTATTTTTAATTGTGTGGATATGTGTATGTGGATGCAGATGACTCTCTCTGAATGTAGAGACCAGTGGCATTAGTTCCACTAGGAGCTGGAATTAACAGGCAGTTGTGAGCTACCTGGAATGGGTGCAGGAAACTGAACTCAGTACCTGCTTTTAACCACTGAGCCATCTGTCTTATTCCCTCTCTTGCAAAGTCTGACTGTCCCGCTCTTCATATGCATCCTTCCTATCCCATCAACTCCACTGAGCTTCACCCAGCACCATCATGTGCTGGGTCTCTTGCTGAACCAGAAAAGTAAACATTAAGTTGTGATACATGCCAGGCAGCTTTTCCTTCCTTGGGGAGGGAAAAGATGACTTCTGTGGCTGTGGAGGAGCACAGGACCAGTGGGCATATTGGATTGTGGCCATGGTGGTGGCCTCTGCAAGGCTTCAGGTTGGAGAGTGAGGTATCCAGGTAAAGACTTGGAGAAGGCCTCTTTCCCTTGCAGCTTTATTGGTTAGACCCTCCTACTTCCTAGCATTTTACTGGGCCTTGTACTCAACTGCAGAGTGACACTCTCTTCCCCATCTGTGGCCTGCCCTTCTCTCTCTGGCTCCATCCCCACAACAAAGACAGGTTCAAGTCCCTCTCATTGTAGGAAAATAACTTTGTGTCTCAATGTTTGCCTCTTGGAACCCTCACCCTGCTGCCCTCCCAGGACCCACAGCTTGATTTCCACATCTAACGGATGCTGTCAGGCTTACATGGTAGTTGACCACTTCCTTTTTCCTCAGCTGGCTCTTTTCTTTTGCTTTCAGAACACTACCCACATCTTTCTTTTGGTCTACACACACCCAGGTGATTTCGACCTCTGGTTCTTTGCAGGTGCCCAGTCTCCCTTGCATACCCCTTCCCCAGGCTTCCCTGGCACAAGCCCTTCCCACCTTTCCTTTCTTGGCACCAAAGCTGTACCCTTTCACAGCTCTTGGTGTATCCTGTAGTATATCTCACTATTCATTGTTTATTCACCTCTCTCCAGATTCCAAGGTCCGGAGTGCCTGGACCTGATCATGTTGATTCCCAATGTCCTGTTGCCAGGTTGAACAGGCATCTCTGGTGGCCATGCACATGTGTACCTGTTTGTTTAGGGGTCTGCGACCTAGGGGCTTTGGGTATTTTTATGTGAGATGTAGAATATGGCAATGTGTCTTGGACAGCTGCACCGGGCGTGTTAAGTGGACCGGTCCGCTCCGTGCACGTGTGGGCGCAACGCGCCCACACCATCCTCCGCAGTGTATGGGGCGGTGGGCGTGTGTCACCATCCTTCACTATGTGTTTGGATTGGATGCTCAAGTCCATCAGGTCCAGCCCGGGTCCGGGCGGAGCTCTAGAAGGCGTCTACGCACAACGCCAAGTTTGGGTGGGGTATGGGGCGGGGCTAGCTGAGGGACGGAACTCTCCACCAATGGCTTGAGGGGGCGGGGCCAGACTGCCGCGCGCCGGGACGCGGTTGGGCAGAGGGCGGGGGGAACGGGCTGGGCCGCCTGGGGCGCGGAGGGCGGTGCCCAGGCCGCAGAGGTGGTGGCTCCTCAGGTAAGCGGCCGGTTGTTGCGCACTTCGAGGCCAGGCACCCTTCGGGGTCTCCTTTTCTGCTGGCAGCGTGAGAAGCAGAGTCCGGGGCGCCTCCCTAAGGTCAGCGGGCGCGGGGCTGGAGGTCCCGGCGTCTCGGGGCCGCGTCCCGGGGTTCAGGTGCGCCGCTGGCCACGCTGCGCTCGGTATACCTGCGAGCTGGCGTCCACTTCCTCCTCCGTGACCCCGGCGCGTGGCGGGGTGGGGGCCCTGCCCCCGGGGGATCTGCGTGGTCGGTGTCGGGCTCCTTCCGGGAACTTGGTGGCCCAGGATCCCGGCCCTCTGGGATCTGGTCCTTGTCCCTGCGAGGTCGGGGCTCGTGTCCGCGTTCCTGAGCCCCACGGCTGGGCCACCCGTGGTTCTGTCTGCCCCGGGAACCGCACCTAAGCCCTGAGACTTGACAACCCTGGAGCACCACAGCCAGGGTTCTCTTTTTGCTTTAAAGGAGGCAGCCTAGAGCAGGAAGGTGATTTGTTCAGAGTCATGAGGACTGCTTGGCCTAGAGAGAAGGCCACAAGCCTGGCGGGGCAGAAGGGAGCCCAGAATTGAGACAAGGTGAGACCTAGGTGAGGCTGAGACAGAGCTGGCCCTGCGTATTTGGGTCCGGTTTTCCTGCAGGGTCAGTGCAGCTGCTGTGCTTTAGACCTTAGAGAACTCAGGGTGGGTGCTGGATGGAGCCATAAACACCAGGACCGCGGGCTACGCATGTGCTGGAGAAGAGTAGAGGCTAGTGTCTGGAGTGGCCTGGGGGTAGGGCTGGAGCAGCCGTTGGTGCAGAGGGCCGCTTTGAGGGGCAGTCCTGCGGGCAGGAACCACTTTAGAAGGGGATGGTGGCAGAGGTAGAGATATTGGGGCTGTCTTGCTGATTTTTTTTTTTTTTAGATTAAAAAAAATTATGTGTACGTGTGTGGGTATGTGCACATGAGTGCAGGTGCGTGCACAGGTTGGAGGTCACGGGCCTCAGATCCCCCTGGAGGTGGAGTTGCAGGCAGTTGTGAGCTGCCCAGCTGGAGGTTGAGAACCCAACTCTGGTCCTCTGCAAGAGCTGTGTGTGCTTTAACCAGTGAGCTGTCCCTCCAGTCCCTGTGAAGATTTTTACTCAGATAGTTGAGTGATGAAAATGCAGGAAAATGGGGGTGGAGAGATGGCTCAACAGTTAAGAACACTGTCTGGTCTTGCAGAAGACCTGAGTTTGATTCCCAGCTCCCACATGGGGGCTAACAACCATCTGTAACTCCAGTTCCAGGGGATCTGATGCCTTCTTCTGACCTCCAAGGGCATTGCAGGACACTGGGGCACTTACATTCATGTAGGCAATGTGTAAAATAAAAATTATAAAAAAATAAAATTTAGGAAAGTGGCAGATGGAGGCAGGGCTGGTGGAAGGGTAGTGATGAAGGAAGTGGGTTGAAATGGGTTAAATCTTAGCTCTCTGTTGTACTCAAGTGCCCATGATCATCAGGATGGAGACTCAACAGATGTTGGGTCCTGGGGGAGGTGAGAGCAGAGATCCTATGCAAATCACTGGTTGGGGGGTAGTATATATTACAACATCATTGCCTGTGCAGTCTCTACAACTGCAGATTCTGGGGATGCTGCTGCCAGCAGGATCTTTACTCCTGGGCCTCAGGCTGTGTGGCCCAGGTGAAAAATGTATCTGGTCTATTACTTCAGAGTGGAATGACCAAGAATGAGCTGCCTTTGTTCACTTGAAACTGATGTCCAGAATTCTGACTTGTTGAATGAAACCTGCATCTTGCCATGCCTCTCTCCCCCCAGAGTTGATTGCTGAATGATACCAGAGGCCAGAGGTGGAACCTGTGGGGTATGTACTTGCTCAAAGTCAGTCATCTGTGTCAGAGAAGCAGATGTCTGTGCTTAAGTGTCTTTGTAGGAGCCACAGTTGTCCAGGAGAGAAGCGAAGTTGCTATCTGATCAGCAACTCCAGACCTCCTAGTCCCTTTTTCTTTGAAAAAAAATTTATTTCATGTGTATGAATGTTTTGCCTGCATGTATGTAAATGTACTTGTGTCGTACAATGCCTGTGGAGGTCAGAAGCTCTCCTGGAACTGGAGTTACAAATGGTTGTTAGCTGCCATGTGCATGCTGGTTACTGAACCCATGGCACAAAAGGTAAAGCAGCTCCTGCTGGAGGCGAGAGGCCATGCTCCGGTGCCCTGTGTTCTGTGTGCTGCAGTTGAAGCACCAAACTTTGCTTGAAAACAGTAGTTTCTATTGCTGTGATTAAAACACTGACCAAAACCAACTCGGGGAGGAAAGGGTTTATTTTCTTATATCTTCCCGGTCATAGCTCAGCACTAAGGGAAGTCAGGACAAGAACCTGGAGTACAAACCGTGGAGGAATGCTGCTTACTGACTTACTCACCTGGCCTGTGCTCAGCCTACTATGTTATACAACCTGCCCAAGGATGGTACCATCCACAATGGGTTGGGCCCTCCCACATCACTCGACAATCAAGAAAATGCCCCACAGATGTGGTCACAGGCCAATCCAATGGAAGCAGTTCCTCAGTATAGGTTTCCTCCACCCAGGTGTGTCCGGTTGACAAATGAGGCTATCCAGCACAAAAACTAAATGTAGTTGTTGGAAGAAATGATTTGTGGTTCTGATGCCATGCTGACGGCCAAGTCAATGTCCTGTGGTCTATCTGTGGACTATACCTCTCCTATTTAACAGCCGTACTTGATGGTTTAGCTTCTTTTTTAATATTTTATTTATTACTTTTATTTTATGTATATGAGTGTATTGCTTGCATGTAGGTAGGTGCACCTGTGTCCTGCAATGGCCATGAAGGTCAGAAGAGGGTATCAGATCCCCTGGAACTGGAGTTATAGACGGTTGTTGTTAGTCACCATGTGGGTGCTAGGATTGAACCCAGGTCTTCTGCAAGAGCAGTGAGTGCTCTTAACTGCTGAGCCATCTCTCCACCTCCCCTATTATCTTTTCTTTGAGTAGAATTGTTTTGAGTCAAAGACATTCTTTGCCTGTGCCAGGCACACAGCTTGATCTCCTTGGGGAAATAACATCAGGCAGGGCATCTATGGCTCTTGGGAGTTCCTGGCCAGGGCTCAATACTGACTGCTGAGTGTCATGCAGACTGCTTTCTTTGATAAACCGGAGGGGCCTCCTTGCCTCTGGGTTTTGCATATGAGCCCAGTGACACAGATCTATATGGCTAATGTTGAGAAATCATCCTCTTATTGGGTGGTGAGCAGTGCTGACCACATTCTCTTGGGTTTCTTGCTGGTGACTTTGTTAGTTGACTCTTCTTTGACCCAAAGCCTGGGTGGGGCATTGTGTGACTGCTTTTGCCTGACACCTCCCCTCCCTCGGCTTGTTTGTGGTTGCTTTGGGGCTATGGCATATGTGAGACTGAGCAGGGATTTGCTAAATGTGCATGTGTGTAAGTATACCCATGCCATGCAATGCTCACAAAGGTCAGAAGAGAGCGTTGGATCCCCTGGAACTGGAGTTACAGACTGTTGTTAGCCCCCATGTGGGTACTGGGACTCTAACCCAGGTCCTCTGCAAGAGGCGCTAGTGCTCTTAACCGCTGAGCCATCTCTCCAGCTCCTGTACAGGTTCTTTTGCATATTAATATTAGGCTGTTTGGCCTCTTGTTACATATGATTTATTCTACTTTTCCCCCAAATTATTTATTTAATTTTTTGGGTCTTTTTTTGAGGCAGGGTCTCCCTGAAGCTCCAGCTGGCCTGGAACTTGCTATGTAGATCAGGCTTGCCTTGCACTCACAGAGATTCTCCTGCTCTGCCTCCCAAGTGTTGGGATTAAAGGTGTGCACCACCACACCCTGCTTCAAATTATTTATTTATTTATTTTTCCTTTTTGAGACAGTCTCCCTATAGCCCCAGCTGTCTTGGAACTCGCTATGTAGACCAGACTGGCCTTGAACTCACAGATATCTGCCTGCCTCTGCCTCCCAAGTGCTGGGACTAAAGGTGCACCACCGTGCCTGTCCTTCAAATTATTTATTTATTTAAATATTTATTTTTATTTTATGTGTATGAGTGTATTGCTTGCATGCAGGTAGGTACACCCATGTTATTCAGGGTCTGCGGAGGTCAGAAGAGGGTATTGAGTTCCCTGAAACTGGAGTTACAGATGGCTTTTAGCCACCATGTGGGTGCTAGGAATTGAACCTGGGTCCTCTGCAAGAGCAGTCAGTGCTCTTAACCACTGAGCCATCTCTCCAGCCCCTTAATTAATTAATTAATTAATTAATTATTTTTGTCATTTTGAGACAGGGTCTCCCTGTAGCCCCAGTTGTCCTGGAACTCACTATGTAGACCAGGCTGGCATTGAACTCACAGAGATCCGCCTGCCTCTGCCTCCTGGGTCCTGGGATTAAAGGCGTGCACCACCACGCCCAGCTTATTTTTAATTCACATAAGTTTATGGCAAACAACATGCTTTGAGATTTTTTAAAAATATATTTTATAGCTGACATGGATGCTTTGATCTCTTAGACATATTTATTATGTTCTCATTGATATATTATTTGTTAAAGCATCAAGGTTTATATTTTTTTTTTAATTTACTATTTGTATTTTATGTGTATGAGTGTATTGCCTGCATGTATGTAAATTCACTCCTGTTGTGCAATGCCCACAGAAGTCAGAAGGGGGCATCGTATCCCCTGGAACTAAAGTTATGGACAGTTGTTAACCGCTGAGCCTTCTCTCCAGCCCCATTCTTTGAGATTTGTATACACTGTGGAATGGTTAAATCAAGCTAACAGATATATTAGCTCACTTTTTTCTTTTTTGAGACCTATGTGGATATGGGTGACCTTGAACGCACTATGTAAGCCAGGCTGGCCTTGCACTCACAGAGATCCTCCTGCCTCCGCCTCCCGAGTGCTGCGATTAAAGGTGTGTACCACCATACCTGGCAGCGTTAGCTCACAATTGTGACAAGAATTTAAAAATCTACTCTTCTAGGAATTTTCAAATATATTCTACATTGTCATCAACCATAGTAACTTAACTGTGTTGTTCAGTATAGCTCTTGAACCTTTTAT